GATGACATGTGAGAGAAGTGGAGGATACCCACCAGCATGATCAGACAGTTCTTCAGGAAACGAGAGTATTGTTCATCCGGGGTCAAGTAGGCCAGGTCTACGCAAACAGTGAAAAACTTGGCGATATAAGTTAAAAGAGGGCTCTGGTTGAGGGTGGTATAATAGGCAGTTGCGGATGTGAGAAGTGTGAGCGCCCTGCCCCCTCCCCATTGGTACTAATTAATGACAACGAATTTATACGAACAACATTTTTTTCTAGAGGCGCCAATATACACAAATTTTAATGAAGCCACGAGTCAAATATAAATATAAGTTGCTTATACATAAATTATATGAAAAAAAACAGCGAAATAAATGCAACCGTAAAGAAGTACGGGAGAATCTAACAACGCTTTTGATTTCACATTTGAACGATAAAAATAGTTTTGATTAAAGGTTTTTATAACAAAACCCTGAAATAGACGACAGGATACGACTGCACCTTCCATATAAAAAATGAAATAATTTTCTATTGCTAAATGATAAATGGGAGACATAATCCAGCGTAATTGATTTTAAAATATCACTTTTTTATTGTAAAATATTAGTATGAGAGGCCATATATGCATCCGCTGGAAGTAATCTGACCACCCCACCAAGGGTCGAAAATTTCAAATTTTGAAAAGTGTTTAATTGAATTATAACTTTTGAAGACTTTCAAAAAGGATAAAAACTTCATATCTAAGGAAGCACAAGGAGTTGAGCAGTCATTATTGGAGTACAGACAAACATCCTCAGGTTACCTTTGAGAGCACCCCGCCATTGTGCTAACTATTTCGAACTTGGAAATTATTTTGGATCTTAGATTTTAGAAAAAAAATTGAAAAAACAAAAACGGCATATCTCAGAAACTAAGATGATTTGAACAAACAAATTTTGAAGCAAGATCTGCACCCTCTGATAGTACCCTGAGAACAACCCACTTTTGGGTTCGAAATTTCAAATTTTGAAAACACGTCATATCTCGAAAACTAATAGCATTTGAGCAGTCACATTTGGAGGCAAGATTTACACTGCCTGGGAGTACCCTGACAGCAACTAACACTATAAAAATCAGAATTTCAACTTTTGTTAAATTTTTTATTTTTTATATCTAAGATAATAAAAATTTTTTGAAAATCTTAAGAAACGTCATATTTCGGATATTAAAAAAAAATTGAGCAGTCATATTTTAAGGCAAAATGTGGAAATCCTGGAAGTATTCTGACAGCACTCAAAAATCAAGGGTTGAGAATTTCAATTTTTGTTATGCTTTTAATATATAATTTCTTTGAAAAAATCATAAAAAACGTCAAATCTCGGGAACTAAAAGGACTTGAGCAGTCACATTCAGAGGCAACCTTTGCAACCCTTGAGAGTACCCTGAAAGCACCCAACTACATGGTTGGGAATTTCACTTTTTCTGGAATTTTTGATTCTTATTTTTATGAAAAAACTTGAAAAGATCCGAAGAATCATTGTATCTCGTAAAGTAAAAAAGATTTGGGTATTCAAATTTGAAGGCACAGTTTGTAACCCCTAGGGTAACCCGATAGCATCACACTTTTGGGTGGCTAATTTCAAACTAAAAAAAAACAAACAAGCTAGAAAATCGAAAAAATTTTTTAAGCATTGCAAGATACGATATAGCTTAAACGTGCAAAAAATCATTCGCTAAACATGCAAAAACAATACGTTGAAAAAGCTTAAGCAAGGCGAGATAGTGAAACCCGCATTTAATTATATAATAGATAAAAGATAACAGATAGATAGATAATAGACAGATAGATAGATAGATTGTCAAACCCTCCAAAAATTGCAATACAACGGCGTTTTGGACTTGTCTTTTTCTAGTTAAAATTATGGAGACTTCTCAAACTAAATTTGGTCAACTTACAAAAAAAGATCGAACATTTTCGCAAGGCGTTGTCAAAACAAACAGTGATATATACCAAGGGAGTGTAAAAGCTTAAACTAAAATAATGGTTTTTGATTTCGTAGGGATTGCTTTATAAATTTAAATTATCCACTAATATCAATGGAAACAAAATAGACTTTTTTCAAAATCAAACGTAAGCCAACAAATAAACAATTTTTGAAAATTTAGATACTCTTACGTGATTGTATTGAAGCAATTAAGTACAGCAAAGCACAAAACGTTCCAAAATCCTCTTCTTCATTTCTCGTCTCGAGTAAAAACGACAAAACTCGATCCAACAATTTCGCCACTCTAGTCAAAACTGCACTCGTAGATGCTATCAAAGCCCACGATTTAGTGCAGTTAAGCACAAAACTCCTAAAAACTAATTTGATAGTAACTATTTCTATTTCACTCGCAGGAGAAACGGCGAAATCATGGTTATTCTCATCGTGTATATTTTCATTCGTCGGCGGAATTTGTTCATGCATTAACGAAGATTGTTCATTTCTCGTGCCTGAGTTGTCGGCGTATTGCGTAATATAGTCGAATAAAGTCGGTATAGTTGAGTATCCTTGATGACAGCACCAGTATAGAATCAGAATATTGAAGACGAAATTGCGATCGACATTTGCCAAAAGATATCCAATTAAAAACTCAAAATGACCTGTGTTAGCTGAAAGATTGAAGAGCTGTCTTGCTTTCCTGTAATAATCAGATCCTTCGTGTTTGATAAGAATAAAAACGGGTGCCAAAGGGGCTACTGAGAAAAACAAAACTAATGAAATAATTTGAGCCCAACTAGGAAGAAATATAAATAGAAAAGTAGGCATGTAAACTAGAAAGAACCAAACTGGACAATATTTGACGCCCAAAAATGGGTTAACTATATACGATGCTGTTAAAAAGCAGCCAGAAAACAACAGGATTAAAACTGTTTGACTCCAGTGCCAAATTAGGTCGCCACTTTCGTTTTTCGAGGAAACACTTTCTGATACTATGTTAAGAAACTTCAGACAAGTTTCGAACGAAAAAAGAATGCATAGAAAAGAGATAACGGAGCTGTAATACGCCAACAAGTAATTATTTCGCCATGTAATCAAAATACACGTGCAAACGAGGAGAATTAAAATTACAGGAACTGCGAATATTTCCTGCACCACTGAAGGTATGAAATGGTAGTTGTAGAAGTCGCTCATGATTGTGTTCACGCAACTGTCCACCTGGAAAATGAGCGGCAGTCGGATTATTGCTTCAGTGTCACTCATTTTGTCTGTTCAACACTAATTTATCCAGGATAAACCTCGAAACTTTCAAGAGTTCAAAATGACCATTCAACCTGAAAAAAAAAACACTGAAAGTGGTTAGAGGTCCGCGAGTTGGTTATTAGAACATATTGATTATATTAGATATTAGAGCAAAATGAAAAATAGGACATGTAATAAAAATATTTCATACAAGTAATAGAATACATTTGGGAACTGAGCAAATGGTCAGAAAATTCCGTTACACAGAGATTTATTTTGTATTCCCCAAAATGTGTCGTGTCGCGTCAAGGGGAAACAACTAAGCCTTAAAAACGGGTAACTAAAAAATTAGTTAACGCATTTTAACAAAAGTAGGCTAAAGCACAGTCTTCAAAATTAGTCAGTAACATTAGTCAAAACAAAAAATATTATAACGCCTTTTCTGGTCAAGGAAAAAAATTGCAAATTGGATTATTTTTGCAGTCCTAATCACCACAGAAAGGGCTTGGATATGATAATCACTCAACCTCATATAATCTCCAGAGTACTTTATTTTGCGGATACAGTTTCCAGGGTACCTAATTTTGCGTATTAAACACGCAGAACGAAATTGATCCGATCAATGATGAACCAAGGAATGATAGCTGGTTGATGGGCAATTTGGACAGAATGTTCCGACCATGTTAAAAAAAACTACAAAAAATGTAGTTTTTTTTTTCAAATTAGTGTCGTGTTTTGTGCGCCATGTGACGAGAAAACAAAACGAACGGGTATAACATTAACGTTAGAGAATTAGACATACTTGACAACAGTTCTTTTCGAAAAAAATTTAAAAATTTCAACAACTGTACTTGATTTTTTGCAGAATAAAATTTTGAATTCTAAAATAATTTATTGCAAAGGAGGCGCTAAATAAAAGTCCAGAACTAATTTTCTGGAAGAAAAACTAAGTTTTTCACTATTTAAATAAAAGTTTTAGTCTACTTCTGAGCGAGTAAAGCCAGCGATGATGTCTTATAATCGCTCGAAATTAAATTTAAACTCAAAAATTTCAGAGCGGTTTTTCTCATTAATGGGACCAATGATAGAAAACACTTTAAAATCGTTCGACTCACACTGGAAGGGTTATAATATGATATATTACTTGACCCATTCCGATGATTATATTACGCTACCTGATTTAATATAAAAAAAGATACTAACACAAAGATAGCCTGACAATCTAGCAGACAAAAAGTAAGTGAACAACCGCAGAGTCGAAAAAAAAACTCAAAAATTCCAAGTCTCCAAACTCACACAAACACAAAACCACACGCGCACGCATTGTAAACTTTTTAGCCATAAAACGGCACAATATCAGTTAATAAGGCCAATACTTTTAATACCAAATTTAGCAAAATAAGTGTGTAAGCCGACTACAATAAACAAACTTCGAAAAAAAACAGACATTCAAAATATATCTGTTGCTGATGAAATAACAGAATTTACCAAATGGTTCGATTGATTTTCTTTAACACGTAAATTCAACATTTCGATTTGATAACGCTGTGATAATCGCAAGCGTAACAAGTGAGTTTGTTTTATCTGACAGAAAAATTTGGCGAATTCTCATGTCATGCAACCCAAACTAAGTTTTGAGCCAATAATTTAGAGTTGATCCATATAAATAAGGTTAACAGAAAAAAAATTGCTTCGAAGACCAGCGTTACAAAGACCTAATTATAATAAGAAAATTAACTTAAAATAAAAACCATAAAAACTAAAAATTCTATTAAAATAATTAGAGCAAAATCTAATTTTTGAATAAAATGGTTAATAGCACCTCTCAGTTAATATTATGTTAAATTTAGCTAAGAGAATCGGAAAAGGATAGAAATATTTCAAGAAAATTTCACAATTATTTTAGCTCGGTAAAGCAGCAGCCTTTTTGAAATCACAATGAACGAATGTTCACGTAGGTTTAACTACACTTCTTTTCATTCAGTTTCAAGAATTGTTTGGCTCAAAAAAATCTACATATTTATTTCAACGAAAAGTTTTTAAAATTTAGAGCCCATTATCTAAAATTGAAGTTAGTGGGATCCATATAAAACGTTCAATTAAATTCAAATTATTTGATAAAGCATAGAATAGAAAAATCTCAGTACTTAAAAGCACTATTTTACAACTTCATGTCACTTTTCATCTAACGATCCAGATAAGCAGTTTATTTTCGCGAGTAATTAGTGTGAACCAACTTGGAAGCCTCGCGATAAGTCAAACTTCTGTCGCTTCCAATTGAGTCGAAGAATTTGAGGTCGATGAAAACAACCCCTGTCACCACCAGACTTGAACTCGTAGAACCTTGAACAATTTCCCGTTATAAAAACATATCTGACAACAGAAAACTCAAAAACAAATTAAATAAACTATTTTTATGCAATGAGGTTATTTCCCAAAGTAATCAAAAGCTATCTAATATCACCATTAAATCCATATTCAGCTTCACAAACAAAAATCTGTTTTTTTTTCTTATATAGCCACTTCTTAGCGTAGATATTTTAACAGAGGCTAGTTAGTTGAGTTGGTTGGTTCTAATTATGGGATTTTTACCTATCACAATTTTTCAGATATCCAAGAGCTCAAGATACCTCAATCAAAACATGATTTGGCTCTTTTCTTATTCCTATTGTGATAATTTGTCACTTACGCAAAACTGTACTTCGTAAAATAAGGCTGAACGAATCTCATAAAAGAGATAGAATGAGGGAACAACACAAAAGCGAAGCTGCAACTCGTAAAAAGTAGCTCTAAAAAAGGTAAGAGCCACAAGCAAAGCAGATTCAACAAAAACCACTTATTTGCCAATATTATAGAGCAAAATTGCCACCAAATGAGCACTTTTATTTGCGAGTTGGGTTAGAAAAAAAGTTGATTCGTAACATTTAACTACGCTCTTTAGCTCGCATGTAAAAATAAAAATTTAACTGAATTCGCCAGCAGTTTAGTCACTATTTTAGCTATTATATCATCTCATTCACTAATTTCATCGCCTTTCATTGGAAAAAAAACAACAGGAAAATTGGTAAAATAAACAAAATTGAAAAAGTTATTGCATGTTAGTTTTTTTTTCGAAATTCTCTGAATTCCATAATTTTTTTCCTCAAGGAAATCTCAAAGGAGGTCAAACGAGATATCATACTATGGCCCTTTCACACGTAACTCGGATTCCCAATAATAATATTTTTTAAATGTATCTTATTTGAGTAAGAGCGCACTTCTTATGTGTTTTAGTGTAACTTTAGCCATTTTCAATTCGATTGCTTAACTCTTAATTGCTTCAATAATAGTACTGTTGTCGGAACAATATGTGCTATTTCTCCAAATGGGCTATCTTTGTTTACTTATGGATTATACCCCAACGATGTAAATTCAAACCTTGCGCCATCCTCCAAATGAGATCATCGCCTTCCATGTCAACTCGCCATTCCGAGTCTTCGGGTTCCCCGTCAATAGGGTCATCGCGGACAATTGTGCTCGGGTAAGATCCAAACGAACCCGGTCGACACAAAACACAGACTATGATGCACCATTGCGTACCGCCGAGAACAACTCGCTCAGAATACGTCGGATGGCCTGCAAGGTAAAAAAAACAGGCTACTAAATGTTTTAATTGAGACATAGCAGCCATTCTGAAAAACTCGTTATTTATGCTTTCAAAAGTTATGAATTTAGTTTGTATCAATTTATGATTCAGAAACGAAGCGTAAAATTCAAGCAAAAACTCTGCGTTCGTCTCAACTTTGTTCAATTTAGATGCCGATAAACAGATTTCCCAGCGTTGAATTAGCATTTGAGTGACACAAATTTACCAAGCGGTAACTACGCTCGAAGAGCCGAAAAATGCCCTATGATTATTGCCAATAAAGTTCTGCAACTGGAAGTTTTTATGTGAAGCACACGCACACACAAGCCAAACTGTTATTTCATAAATTTCAAGTCTCAAAGACTGAGGCAAGATCCGACCAACTTACCTGCGTATATCAAACTGGGAGAGATGAACACAGCGCTCGCCCAGTTATTAACTCCAAAGTGAGTTGACCCCAGCTGGTAATGACCCTTTGGGGGTCTGATTGCCGTGCCATCTACAACCGCTCCCGATGGTTGCAATCCGTTTTTCAGAATCGAATTCAAATAATTGTATTTGGTTCCATGCCATGCTGGCAGCCAGTTCTTGGGTATATCTATATTCTGAAGCCTCAGAATACGTGCGACAGTTTTTCCCCTATGAGTTATATTTTCAGCGTTCACATTCTGTACGGACTGAGTCAAAGATGCAATTATATCGCCTTTCTTCAATTCTAGTAACTTCTGTTTAAGTTCATCGGTTTTGGCCTCGTCAACGGGTGTATTCCCAAATCTATTCTTGGCAGCAACTTTGGCGCCTCTGGATATAAGCAGCATGCAAACCAAATCGTGGCCATAATAGGCGGCCGCATGTAAAGGAGTGCTCTCTGAGGAGCCACAAGTGAATCCGGGTTTGGCTCCTTTATCTAGTAGAAATTCGCATGTGTCGTAAAAACCACTTCGGGCTGCGATGTACAGCAACGAAGATCCTAGAAATTATTTTGAAGAAACGTTTATTTAATAAGCAAAGTTAGTTTAAAAACATTACACGCTTCTAGTTGCAACTCTTTCGAACAAAATTATTAATCACCAAAAAAAAGTTATCAGTCGCAGGACATCTAAAAATAACTCTTTTAAATAAACGCTATAAAACGTGTCTCTAAATCAAAAAAAACTTACGAACCAAGGAAATAGTTTAATTTCGCACATAAGAAATAGATGCGAAAAGTCTGTGGATATTAAATAAACTCTTTATGGAGAAACCTTAAACTTAAGACCCTTTTTTCACTTAAAAAATTAATGAGCTTTAAAAATTAATGAGCTAAACTAATCAAAAAGTTTAGAAAATTGTTTGCAGATGACTACACTTATTATGCTGCAAATAATTTCGGAATTAATAGCGGTTGGCCTTAACAAAGGTTTGAAAATAAAAGCATAGCTATCAGTCAGCAAACATAATGATACATAAAGTATATTTTATTAATAACGCTTTGCCTTTTGCAAAAATTTAGAATTTGAGTTCCTAGCCATGAATGGACAAAAAAATTAACACCGCATCATTTAAACAAGTTTGGAAAACGAATTCCTAGCCATCAATGAGCAAAAATATCAATATTTTTAGTTTGATACGTTAGTAGTGCTTTGCCTTGAACAAAAATTTGGGAAACAAACGCCAAGCCATCAATGAGCAAAAATATCAAAACAAAAGATTTCATACACAATTAGCTCTTCGCCTTAAGCAGACGTTAGGGGAAAACGCCTAATTATCAATGAGAAAAAAAGATCAACATATTCATCTCATTAAAATGACAGAGCCTTGTCTTAGTATGAAAAACAATCGCCAAGTCATCATCATTCAGCAAAAACATTAATTTTAAAATATTCAAAGCGCTTTGCCTTAAAGAAAATTTGAGAAAAAAGGTCTAGCCATAAATGAGGATAAAATCAATTCAAAAACTTTAGTACACTTAAGACGCTTCGCCTCAAACAAAAATTTGGAAAACAAATGCCTAATCATCAATGAGCAAAAATCGTACCACTCATAGTCGTATAACCAGATATTGACGTAACCGCACTTTTCAAACGGTTACACACAAAAAGTAAAGGATTGAGAGCCTATGTGTTGCGAAACTTTGTAAGACAACCCTAAGAAGTTTCAACGCAGAAGAAGTTTTGCAGTTACCAAAAATTTCAGTCTAAGAATGAGACAACTTATTTGCGCTCTTACCAGAAGTATCTGTGCATTCTAGTGCACCTGGGTATTCTGCCAGTTCAGCTTTCAGATTTTTTTGTGTCACCACTAATTGCATAATCGAACACGTCACAAACTGTCCTTTCTCCAATGCAATAAAGCACTTCGTTCGTTATCATGTGCCAAGAGTATGCAACTAACATGCGTTTTTGGCGGTTAGGAGTTGAAACCAGGTCACGAAATGCGGTTTTACATTCACCGATACTTGCTCCTTTTCTCAATTGAAAATTATGGTATGGGTTGATGAACTGAGGAATGTAAACCCAGGAACCGCCTTTCGCTTGGTAGCAATATGTGTTCTCTTCGCCATATTGTTCGTTGGTCACGTGATCATCGTCTCGATATGGTTTCAGTCGCCGGACTCGACAAGCCATCGGTAAAATAATATTTCAGTTTACATCAAGCTTATTTGAAAAAATATATATAAATCAAGGAAAATCCAACAATGATTTACATATTCTATAACTGCACAAATCCTAAAAAAAACATAGCCCTTTCAATTAAATACAAAGGCGATGTCGAATTTCTTAGCACTTGAGAAACAAAATTATCTACCAGATTCACGCGGAACAAAAATTAACTGGACAAACACTGATACAAAATTGACTGCACACAAAATATTTGTAAAAACGGGATGAATGAGATATTTTTCAAGTTTTAGCAAAAAATTAAAACAGAAATTTCAAAACAGTTAAGACAAGGATCCATTCACTGCATCCTACTGACTAAGATAAGAATGAAAAACTTTCGACAAAAACTTGGACAACTTTCGATATTGGCCGAATATGACGCTGAAACTTTTTTAAGGACGTCCGAAAATGTTTTTGAGCACTCCTGAAACGCCAATTAGACCCAATTGGCCAAAAATATCAGCACCGCAGGCAACACAAAAAGAAAATGCTGTTTTGGGTAAATTTTTGACGCACAGCTCTCAAAATTATATCGGTGCCCAAGGTGCTTTTAGATAAATTTGTGTGTTGATCGGCCAAAATTGATGACAAAAAATAGTTCCTATTAGTACCTAAAACTTGTGCACAGATGCTTTTGCAAACATAAAAAAATCATCTATGCATTTAATCGTAATGTTCATCGGAAGTTATATTGACAGAGGCAAAGCTACGCTTCTTATTCATTAGTGAAAAACGGCGCATATTTGATGAAAAAAAAACGAAAATTGAAAAACTACAGAAAACAAAAAAAAACAGCTACAAGACAGTCGGAGAAGTGTTAATGAACAAGGAAGCAGAAAATGTTTTTAAAACATCCGCTTCCAAATTCCAAACAACATAACCAACAGATAGTTGGAGAAGAGTCACTGAAGGCAAGTGCACCACAAAATACTGAATTGATTTCAAACCTACATAAAATTCAATAAAATAAAATTCAATTTAAGAAACTTAAACCAAAAAAAATTATTATTGAAAAGTTTTTGATAGGAATAACCCATTGTGAGAAAACAGGTTCAATAGATAACTTATATCGCAGAGAAGTCTGAAAATTAAACCGCTTTCGAAACTAGAAGTCGATCACGTTTGTCTTGACCGTTACACTTTTTGCTCAATAGTGAAAATTGCCTTCCTTTCAATTTGGAAACTTAAAAACCAAAGTGAAAACTCAAAAAAAAACTAAATTTGAGCCTGAAAAAATCTGCAGACTTTTCCAGGGAAAACGACAAAAAAGTTCACGAGCTATATCAGAGTCTTCACAAAGTTCATAGACTGTTTAAATCGAAAAATTTAAATAATCGAGAGTAATTTTAACTCAGACAAATTGAAAAAAATACCTTTCAAACTCATCAGACTAATTAGTTTTTTGTATGATTGAACGCGTAATTAAAACAAGGAAACATTCGATCAGTTCCTTTGCTTGAAGTACTTAAAAATGGCAAAAAAGGAAGGAACAATGGCAGTCAATTTCAGTGAAGTTGTCGTAACAATTGTTTTAAAATAAAGTAGATCGACAATATCACAATAATACAATTATATTTTGCAAAACATAGCCAACTGCAAATTGGAGTGTCAGTGAACTAAAGGAAACAGTTGTGCTGATTTTTGAAACTTTCAAATTACGAAAGAAAGAAGTACAAAGCTTTTCAATTTCTAAGAACCTTTCGTGATCAATATTTTTTCATTTAAGTAGATCAATTTGAGACTGGATGTTTTTTGAAAACTGGGTCAAACTGGATCCACTGGAAATTTTGAAACTCATAACTTACTTTCGAAGCTATATTCCCCCACGATTTGTTTTTCACGCCACCTGAACTTTCGCTATTCATAAGCGTGATTTGTTTTTCTTTCAGCAGATAAAATTGAAATGAACTTTAAAGAAACCAATGGAGTCGAACTGTTAAAAGATATCATTGAGCGTAAACATCGTTCAAGATTTTCTACCAAAAACTTCAACACGACCTATAAAAATGTCCTTCCCACGCTCAGTGAAACTAAAAACTAAAATTCACTTTTCAAACACAAAGTCAAACAAATTGCAATATGCAACTTGGTGCGCGACCTGTTAGCAAAAAAATCTTGAGACCAAGCGTACAATCTCCCACCCCCTAAGTGACATACCGTAGACTTTCCCCTAGCCACCTTTATTTGTGCAAACTATGAATTCTAATCTGTTTTTTTTTTAGGAAAATGTTTCAAACAATCATAGAAAAACGTCATATTCCGAAAACTAAAAAAGTTTAGATAGTCAAATTTGGAGGCCAATTTTTCAACCCATGGTGCAACGCTGACAGCTCTCAATTATATGGCTACTAATTTCAAAATTGGTGAGATAAACGCAAAAAAAACGCCAATTACATAAATAGAAGTACGAAAATTCCTGGACACTACGCTACACAGCTCAAACCTCTCCCTCTCATGCTGGCATTATAGCCTCAGCCTTACAGCCGGACCTTTCAATTGGACTAGCATTCATAAACAGGGAAATCTAAAAAAATTCTTAAGCATAGCAAAATACGATAAACCGTGAAGTGCAAATTTTTTTTCGTTAAACATGGCGAGATATGTGTCATATGCTTTCGAATATATTATAGATAAATATAGATAGATTGTTATATATCACGGTTTTAATTGAGTACTACCGTGTAACGCACCTCCGGTACTCATAATAAACCGCATATATTTGGAAAAAAGATCTGACTTCTTTGAGTGTACTCTGAAAGCACCCAATTACAAGGTTCGTAATTACAAATTTTGCAAAGCTTTTTATTCAAGTTCTTCATACAAATTTTGAAGAACCATAATAATTTGTGAAGTTTTTTTATAAGTTCTTCGAAAATTTAAAATGAACTAAAGAATGTCACATCTGGGAAACTACAAGAAATTGAGAAGTCGCATTTGGACGCAAGATGTGCAACTTTTGAGAGTCCTCTTTTAGTACCCAACTACAACTTTGAGAAATTCAAATTTTGAGAAACGTAACCTTAAGTTTCCAAAAAAAGGTATTTTTGAGAACCAGCAAAAAATTCACATCTCGAAAACTACCAAGATTTCAGCAGTCTTATTTGATGGCAATAATCGCAATCTTTGAAATTACTCTGACAGCACACAGCTACAGGATTGGGAATTTCACTTTAGTGAATTATTTTGTAATTTGAGTTTTCTGAAAATTTCCAAAAAAAATCACAAAAAAGGTCTTATCTCTTAAACTAACATTATTTGGGCATTCTTATTTGTAGTCCTAAATTACAACCACTGAAATTACTCTGACTACCCCCAACTACAGGTTAGGAATTTAAAGCTTTGAAAAAAAAATTAATTTAATTTTCATGAAAATTTTTTGAAAAAATCACGAAAAACATCATATCAGGAAAACTGCAAGGTTTAGAGCAGTCAAATTTGGAGGCGAAATTCGCAACACCTGAGAGTACCCTGACAAAGCCTCACTACATAGATGGTAATTTCAAGTTTTGTGAAAACTTTTATAGCTAAGTTCTCTGAAAAATTTTGAGAAAATCCTATAAAACGTCATATCTCGAAAACTACAAATAATTGAGCAACCATATTCAGTGGCAAGATTCGCAACTCCCTGAGAGTTTCCTCACAGATTCCAATAACACGATTGAGATCTTCAACATTTGGAAATTTTTAAAATCTAAATTTTGAACATTTTTTTAAAATATCATAAAAAACGTCATATCTCGAAAACTACAAGGATTCGAAAGTCAGATTTGGAGCCAGATTCGCAACTCCTGAGAATACCCTAACAGCACCTAACTAAAGGACGAGAATTTCAAAAATTGAGAAAATTTTAAAATTAGTTTTTCTAGAAATTTTCGAAAAATCTCGAAAGTTGCCTATCTCGTAAACTACAAGGATTTGGTAATTCATATATGGAGGCCAGAAACGCAAAAGCTGGGAAAACTCTGACAACATCCCACTATTAGGTTGTTAATTTCAAACTTGATAAATTAAACACTGAACTTAAACTGGAAAATCGAAAAAAAACCTTAATCATAGTAATATACGATATAGCATGAGCATGAAAAAAACTCTTTTGTTAAACATGTAAAAATAATACGTTGAAAAAGCCTTAGCATGGCGAGATAGTGAAGCCCGTATTTAAATATATAATAGATAGATGAAAGTTAAAAATTAGGAGACGGGTAGACAGACATAATCAAATTAATTAACAAAGCAGGTATACAGACAGACAGACTTATTTCGCCTCGCAAAAAAAAAATACTGAAAATTAATGACCTTGCGGAAAACTAAGTGAAAATTTTCTTAAGCATTGCAATATATGATATAGCTCAAACATGAAAAACTCTTTCGGTAAACATGCAAAATTATTATGCTTGAACATAGATGGATGATTGGTTGGTTAGATGGTTAGGTAGACAGTTGACTGGATAGATAGCCCCGGGTAAAAGTCTGAGAAAACTTTATAACAACAGTAACAGCAGCAAGTTAACTGGCGACAATCACTGGCTAGGCATAGTTTTTAATGACTGCTATCAGCTGCAAAAGGTCACATTTACACAAATGTGAAAGGTCCCTCAGCAAAAACCCACATTTACGCAATAAAACAGAAACATGACAAGCTAGCAGATAGAAAAGACGAAAGCCCACAACTCGAAAAACTGTTATTTTCCACACGCGGGCTTTGATTTGCTTAAGTTCATTTTGAAGAAAAATGTGTCAATTAAAACGACTACCAGAATTGAATTAGCACCAAAACAAAACTTATGCAGCAAAATTTTAGCCAACATTGGTTGAGCAAACACCAGTTTGCCCGAGAAAAAAATGTCATAAAAATTTAGAGCTATCAAATATTTTGAAACTCGAAACTTGAATTCCAACTCCTCAAACACATACACACGCACACACACAAGAGGCGCAGCTGAGCCGGATGTACCTGTTTGATAATTTTTGATTTTTGTTGTACTGATGCCGGATGAAACAAATAATTTAAGAAATTTAAAAAGTGGGCTTCACTTAAAACCTTAGATGTCTATTAAAAAATGAGTGAAAGTTTTTGTGATTTTGGAAACTTCCCAGAGACATATTTTTTTGTACAAACTTTAAGTCGTAGCAACTTATGCAAGAAGGCTTCACAAAACCTCGATTAAACCCTTGATATCAGATTGAGTTGTTTTCAGAAAGAGCTGTAGAAAGCTGTTTTTGGAAAGCTGTAGAAAGCAAATTGATGTATAAAAAGAATATAGAATAAAGCAGGCACATATAATAGTGGGCCTGCTTCCCATTGATGTTACTTTTTTGAAAATTGGTCGAGTCGTTTTTGAAGAAAAAAAAATGAAAAATTTTCTGAAAAGAGAAAATTTTTGCCGAAGGGTCCTAAAAAGTACACACACAAAAATTCCGGAAGTTTTTTTCGCTATCAACATTCGACTTAACCAGTAAGTCATAGGCTAAAGCCTTTTATATCAAATAGAGAAAAACAAAGAGATAGACCACCGGACATGCTAAAATTACATGGAGACAATCAAATTATATCTAATGTTGACGAAATCACCTTGACCAAATGAGTGAAAAGATTTAGTAATCAAGTTGTTAACCAACGATTAAAACTTGATTCTGGGTTCAGTGTAAATATGACTTTCAGCCTGAAAGAAAGTTTTCAAAAAATAAATTCTATTTGTATAATTCTGTCAAAAAATATGAAAAATTTTAGTAAGCACCTATCAGTTGATATAATTTCAATTACAAAAAAGAGCACCAGAAAAGGAGATATTCATTTCAAGAAATCTTCACAATAAATTTAGCTAATGTTGACCGCCGTTGACAACTAATTAAGACCTCCGTTGATGGGCTGGTTTCAACTCATATAACAACGAATATTCAAGTATGTTTAAATATTTATTTAAAAAGAATCATAACGATTTTAATAGCTCAAGACAGAATAACTAAAATTCAAAATCATTGCAGTATTTAGAAATCTAGAACCCACGTATCCTTAAATGAAAATCGTACCGCTATATTAAATGTTCAATTATAATTCGGATAATTCGACAAAAGAAAATTAGGTTTGCAGAAAGAAATTGCAATTGAAAGAAATAGGTTCGTACGGTTATATAAAAGGTTCAATTACAATTCAGATTATTTGACAAAAGATATAAATAGGTTCCAATTGCACTATTCAAATTGCACTTAACAGCAATGTATTCAATCACTTCCGGTCACTTTTCAAAGTTTCAAGCAAACGCTTCATTTGCGGTATAAGGACGTTAAATTTTAAATAAAAACCTTGAAAATATAGATTCTTATTATAACTATTCGTCGAAAAATATAATTTTCAAATAAAAATGTAGTAAGCACCTATCAGTTGATATTATTTCAATTTTGAAAAAGCACCGAAAAAGGAGATATTTACTTCAAGAAGAAGTAGTCACAATTTTAGCACAACGCAGCCTTTGTAGGGCTGGTTTTAAGTCAAATATGAACGAAAGTTCACGTATGTTTTAGTAATTATTTGCATTTATTTTAAACGAGTTTTAACGTATTTCATTCACTCGAGGAAAAATCACTAAAATTTACAAAATCAAGATTTCATTGCAGTATTTACAAATTATAGATCCCAGGTATTCTAACATGCAGCTCCTAGGACCCATATAAAAGATTCAATTATAATTCAGATTATTTGACAGAAGATAGAAATAGGTTACAATTGCACTGTATTCAAATTGCACTTAACGGCACTGTATACAACAATTTCTCGTCACTTTCAAACTAACGCTACAGGCAAACACTTCATTTTTGCGAGTAGTTAGTGTGAACCAACAGGGAAGCCTCGCGATACGTCAAACCTCCGATGCTTCCAATTGAGTCGAAGAATTTGATGTCAACGAGAACAGCTCCAGTCACCATCAGACTTGAACTCTTAGAGCCTTGAACATTTTTCCATTACAGTACAAAAAATAAATTCCACGGGAATGGACGCAATTTTACACGCCCAAATAGAGTCATACTGAGTTTTACAAATCAAAATCTGGTTCTAGCACTGAAATATAGAAAACTACGATGTTCCCAAGCTGAGATTGTACCTATCACAAATTCACATATTGAAGAGGTGCTTAATTCAAATTAATTATGCCAATCGAGCAAAAATTACACTTCATAAAATATAAAGCTAAGCGGTACCATTAAATTTGAGACGCAAAGACATCAGCTCTGCAGGCTTAGAAACTGGGACAAATTGTGGTCAGTACAAAGAGATGGTTACCTACTATTTACCTGCAAGGCCTTGGTCAAACAAAAAAACGCTTAAATTGAGTGAATCTGAATTGGTTGGCATGGGTTTTTACGACTGAATTTAATGTTATCTGCGAAGTTAAACCTATAACGGGTTGAAAATTCGAACCTTGCTCCATTCTCCAAATAAGGTTATCGCCGTCCACGTTAATTCGCCATTCGGAGTCTACGGGTTCGCCGTCAACCGGGTCATTGCTAACAATCGTGCTCGGGTAAGATCCAAACGATCCCGGTCGACACAAAACACAGACAATTACGCACCATTGCTCGCCGTCAATAACAACTCGCTCGGAGTATGTCGGATGACCTGCAAAGTAAAAAAGGAGATTACTTTTTGTTTTGTCAGACGTTGCGGCTAATCTGGATAATTCATTGTTGACAATTTCGTCAAGCTTACCACCACTTGCGATGTAACACAAATATGGCTGGAGAAAGAAGCCGGCTGAAAATGCGATGAAAACCGCCCAAGTTGAGAAAAGTCTTAAATGTTGACACAACTAGATGTACCAAAATTTAAAGACAGCATGCCAAGGTGAATAATTAAAATAAAATAAGCATCAGAACAAAACTTATAAAGCGGTCACAAGGCCGACAGCTCTTGAGCAGACACTGGTTGAGTCGAAAAAACTGCTTTCATAAAAATTTGATCACTCAAAAAACAAAAGACTCCCTCTCGCAAAAGATGGAGATCGGAAACTTTTTTGCTCAACAAACGAAGCAATGAGGCAACTAGGGTGAACAATACTAAAATCAGACTTACAAGACTACAGTATAAAAAGCAATTATCTATTAGAACGGGAGGTTAAAACACAGACATGCTCAAAACATTTATTTTGGCAAAAAACAGATTTGGATATTATCAAGAACTTCAGTTATTCTGTGAGCAGTTATTTACGGGAAAAAAAATCCAGCACCCGATTGCAAAACCCATGGTTATCTCAAGAGCAATGCACACAATTTGTTTCAATTTTTGATACAGAAATTAGAAAAAAGATTGTTGATAAATGTTTTACACAGACGCGAAGCTGCACTTCGTAAACAAAATCGACAAAAACGCCCAGAAGTAGATTTAAAAACTTTAAAGAGAGAAAAGTGAAAATTAAATATCCTCCACGGGAATCCAACCTTAGTCCTCGGACTCCAAAAATTCAAGTCGACTTCACTACACAACTTTGCCCCTGACGCTTCCAGAAACGATACACTTGCCGATGATTAAATTTAAAACATGTCCTATTAAGCTGCCAATACTAGGTAACTGTAGTGCAACCAAAATGAGCCTTTTTATTTGCAAATTGGATTTCAAAAACGCTCACTTTGTGATATAACTATGCTCGCGAGCTCACTCGTGTTAAAACATCACATAGGCAAAACAGAGCCGCACAACACTTGCGATACAAACATTTGCTCACAGCACTTGCGATACAAATACTTCATGCCAACCGTACAAACCGAATTTGAAATATTATACGCCAAACCATCAAATGATCACACTTAATCTATCAGAGAAGTGCTAACCTGAAAAAAAAACATATTCCGAATTAATAACGCTTGCTAATTGCCAATGTAAAAATGTCAAAATAACGATATCTAGTAACTATGCCATGTGTTTGTTTCCTATGATCCACGCGTACAAACAAAATTCTATTTTCGTCCAGCTACACATTAAGAGATGGCAAAACCAGTAAAAGAAAGTCGAATTAAGCCAAGTCAACCTTTCAAGTAATATTTATGGCCTAAAGACTTTCACCAAAATTGGGTTGAATAGCAAATTTTTTTTATTCTGCTGGAAAAATCATAGCATTTAAATCCTTTTTCGAACCTTAAATCATTCACGTATTTTCGCGTCAATTTCACTTTGGCATACAGAAACAAGAGTTTGAATTCCTTTCCGCAAATGAATTTGAATTGTACTATAAAAGAAACGGAACTATAAAGAATCCCGCGAAAAATCAAATTTGTGCTTGATCAAGTTTTTCCTCTAGAAATTGAGAAAAACACGAGTAAACAAATGTGTACACTCGTTCAATGACCCTTATTGAAGCACACTGATGAATTCACTGAAGGAAGTTTTTAATGTTTCCCTAGCTACCATAATTGTCGTTAGAGACTGCATGAGGAATCATTTTATGACCTTGGTTGACAGTTCGATCACTTTAAAGCAAAATATTGCAAAAAAATACGAAAAAAAACGAGCCATAATACTCAGCACGGTGAACTAGCTCTAACCATCTTTCAAGTACATTTTATTTATAAAATTTTTACTGTCGAGTCCGATGCAGGATCGGACCAATTACCTGCGTATATCAAACTGGGAGAGATGAACACAGCGCTCGCCCAGTTGTTAACTCCAAAGTGAGTTGACCCCAGCTGGTAATGACCCTTTGGGGGTCTGATTGCCGTGCCATCTACAACCGCTCCCGATGGTTGCAATCCGTTTTTCAGAATCGAATTCAAATAATTGTATTTGGTTCCATGCCATGCTGGCAGCCAGTTCTTAGGTATTTCTATATTCTGAAGCCTCAAAAGACGCGCAACAGTTTTTCCATTATGAGTTACATTTTCAAGGCATAAACTCCCTGTCAATCTAGCCATTGGTGAGGGTTTGTCGCCATTCTTTAATACTTGCAATTTTTGGTTAAGTTCATGTGTTTTTGCTTCATCAGCGGGCGTGTTTCCGAACTTATTTTTGGCATCAACTTTGGCGCCCCTGGATATAAGCAGCATGCAAACTAAATCGTGACCATAATAGGATGCCGCATGTAGAGGAGTGCTCTCTGAGGATCCACAAGCTAGTCCGGGTTTGGCTCCTTTATCCAGAAGAAACTCACAGGTGTCGTAAAAACCGCTTCGGGCTGCGATGTACAGCAACGAAGACCCTTTAAAAATATTAATTAACTTTACGTGATTTTAACTTTTTTTGAACTAAAAACAGGTTGAGATACATTAATTACTCAAGAGATCTTTGAGCGTTTCCCTAGCAGAAATTACTATTTTTTCTTAAGAAAAACTACTATTTTCGTCAGGACATCTATATCTATTTTATTCAAACAAAGAAGTATTTGATACTGTAGACCATGATATCTTGTTGTGTGAAAAATAATATGTTGTCGGTAAAAAATTAAATTAAAAAGAAATATGATAAATGTCTGAACACAACCCCATCTTGTGGGGCAATTCAATTTTTAAGAGCATTTTGTTAACTGTGTAAAATGGCTCGAATTAATTTCTGATTCATGTCCAAATTTCAAAGAACATAGCCAATCGAAGATGAACATAGCCAATCGAAGAAGAGGAAAAGAGTAATGAACGCAAGTAAATATAAAAAACACTGATTTTGTAGAAAAAACTTTCAAAGTTGAAAAAAAAAAAAATGCCCTTTAAGCTCTTTGAATTTTTGAACGAACTATGATTGTCGTTTTTTGGTATCAGTAACCCAATTTGAGAAAACTGGATCAACGGGTAAACTTTTTATTCTGCTGGAAATCTAAAAATTAAATTCCACTTTCAAAACTAGCAATCGTTCGCGATCTTTTGCGCCATTTACACGTTCGTATTTGGAGAGTCAAAAAACGCCAATCATAATTCATTCAAAAATTCAAAGAGCTTAAAGGGCATCTTCTTTTTTCTTTGAAATTTGAAAGTTTTTTCTACAAAATCAGTGTTTTTTATATTTACTTTTATATTTATATAACTCCGCAAAAAATTGGAATATAGCCAACAGAAAATACATTTGACTAAGTTCAATCAACTCGAGAAATATTGAAAAAAAGAACGGATTAATTGTGAAGCAGGAACCAAATAAATGTATGAACTTAAGACTAATCGAACAAAAAGAATCTTTTACGATTGAAACTTTTCAAGTTCCAAATCCAGTTGACAATTTTGTCTCCATGTACTGCAAACTTGCTTAAAAGAAAATGTTTTCATAAATAGCCCATGCCCAGTTATGCATGTTCTCGTGGTGGTCCTGAATATGATCCGCAAATATGCTGCTGGTCTAACTATTTGCGCAAATAGTGCACAATAAAGCAGAGAGGCCAATCAGTGCTTCGCTCCACTTGCGATACCACATTAACAAAGCATTGTCAGCTAAAATGCAGACATTGAGATGGATCTATTACGTCGGTAGAAAAATTCACAAAAAAAAACTAAAACAAATATTTTCAAATTTGACACGAAATAGGTTCAATTTGAAGCAACCAAAAGTGAGGGAAAACACAATCGTCAGCATTGAAATAGCGTCCAGAAAAACTCAAAGGCAACCAAATTGAAAATCGGTGGGTAAACGTCAGTTGAGACAAAAACAAAAAACAATTGTTCACATGAAAGCCCGATGAGCAATAAAATTTTGGAATTGGAAACATACAACCACCCCCCCCTCTTTTGGAAAGCACACAAAAAAAACTTATTTTCGTATCAAACAACGCAATCAAACATTAAAGAGGCCGAAATAGTTAAAGCCGAACAGACGCGGATCTAGGAGTTTCTCGAGGTGGGGGGGGGGGGCGCATTTTCAAAAAAAATTCAAAATTTTGTCTAAATTTTTTTAGATCGACCAAATTGATTTTCTGAGCTCTCCCAAACCATTTTAAAGACGTAATGTGACAAAATTTTCTGAGCCACAGGCAAATTTTTGAAAAAGGCCAAAAAGGCATCTTTTCGGCGCCCGCTCCCCCCTCAAAATTAGTATATATTGGATTGGCGCCAAAGGCGCTTTTAGGAAAATTTTAAGGTCAGTCAGCCAAAATGGATATCTCAAAATAGTATATATATTCAACGATATATTGAGCTCAGGTTGATTCGCTTAAACTTCGAATAACAGTTGGGAAAAAAACTTGTCTACAAATTAGATATTTATTCGTGAATCATTACCAGAAGTATCTGTGCATTCCAGCGCATCTGGGTGTTTTTCCAGTTCCAATTTCAGATTGCCTGTGTTGCCACTAATTGCATAATCGAACACGTCACAAACTGTTCTCTCTCCAATGCGATACAGCGCTTCGTTTGTTATCATATGCCAAGAGTATGCAACTAACATGCGTTTTTGGCGGTTCGGAGTTGAAACCAGTTCACGAAATGCGGTTTTGCATTCACCGATACTCGCTCCTTTTCTCACATTAAGGTTATCGTATGGGTTGATTAACTTAGGAATGCAAACCCAGGAACCACCTTTCGCTTGGTACCAGTATCTGTTCACATCTTCAAACTCTTCGTGAGGCGCGTAATCATCATATCGATATGGTTTCAATTGCTGAGTCAAATACGCCATCATTAACTGAATATTATGTTTACAAAACACTGATCTGAAAAAAAAAAACAAATCGATGTAATGCTCGTATTGTAATAGACGAAATATTAAACACAGGTACATGCAGTCCTAAAACACACACCCCGACCAGCTTCAACTAAACAATTTATTCCGAGCATTTGCTTGAAAATCAGATAAACGCTTCACCGTAACATTCAGCGGAGCTAACTGATATTGAGAGACCAGGTAGTGGTTCCAATTCACCAGCGAAAAAAAAAACATTTGATCTAAGGTTACAACAAAAAGATCTTATACAGTGTGTGCCAACCTACCACCCTTCAAAAAAATCCTGCTAATGATTTTTATGAGACGCAAATATGACAAGTTTAGGCCATTTTTTTGTCTAATTCGATAAAAACACCATGGCCAAAAGTCAGTTATAAAAGTTTCAACACAGAAGCGGAGCGGAGCTTCCCACCTTTTGCTACACAAAATTATATGCCAGTTTGACTAAAAACAGCGACATATTTCTTATTTCTCATTTAAGTTCAAAATATAAAAGAAAGATCTCGACATTTTCTTACACTTATGATTCATGAAAGCCCACATGACAAGAACAAACTAGGTGGATGAAACATGCGAATGGAGATTTTTTACGCCGTAACACTGGCATTCATATATTTTTCAAATGATTGCAACCAGAAGGAATCTTAATTTTAAACAAATGAAGATAAGACGCAGGGTGGGAGTTGTAAACGTTTTTTATCCAATTATACATTAAAACATGTTTTTTTACGAAAAAAAAACACGTTTTTTATGTTTTTTTTCGCGGCTACAATTTTTTTTGTTGATTGGCTTCAGAAAAAAATCTTTCGCGAACACTGAATTCAACAGTTGAATTGTTTGTACAAGAAAGTCATTTTCCCCGCTTTTTCGACGTCAAGTTGATTTCTCAAAGATCCGTAAGTCATCCCAAGCGTTGAAAACTGACGCTTTAGTCCACCACTCGACCCTATGGCGGAAACAAGGGCTTTAGCCAGGTTGACTAACTCTTCGTCAAACCCGAGATGAATACCGCTTGACCACCACGCTGTTTGGTAAATTTCTGCGAACAGGTACCTACAGTAAGGTTGTTCGTAACCAAGATACTTTGTAACTTGGGGAAGACATGCCTCATTAACTGAGCCGATGTAACTCATTCCGGCTGCAACTTCAACCGAAAAATGGCGGCGGTAGTAGAAATATGTGAACTCATCATTTATCTACCAATCAGCGAGCAGGTCAAAACAACAGGCGATAAAAGTGAGGTGTGAAACTTCGAGCACTATTGCGTCATAACTTTAGCACTATTGCGTCATTAGCCGAAAAACGGCTTTAATTGTCTATTTCAATCAAATTGTTTTAAACGTGTTTTTTCTCGCTGTTTTAAACAGTTTTTTCAACCCTGTGTTTTAAACTGTTTAAAACAAAGTCCCCCACCCTGATAACACGCCCATCATTACATACGAAGGGATTGCGCAGACAAAATAAAAAGTAAAAAGTTTCGAAAAATTTCCTGTAAGAAATATATTCAGAAAACTAAATATCAAGAATCAAATATCAGAAAAAAATCCTTGGCTTGCACTTACCTTTACAGGAATAGTATGAAAGACTTTTGAATGACAGCAAAAAAACCCTCATAACATAGTGTGACAGTAAAAAGCGCTCAATCACGCGATAAAAAAAATTACCTTTCCAAAAAAAACAGGGACGGAATGGATTCGACTTGTAACCTTTGCCGTCCCAAGCAAGAACGTTACCTCCACGCTAAACGGGCTAAATTGACACCACGAACTTGATAAACTAATAAAGTAACCAACAGTACATGAGCACATAGTTTCGTGCGCTAGTTGTTAACCTGAAAAAAGGTAGTTGTTATCCTGCAAGCATATAGAAGTTGAGGATACGAAAAACATTTCTAGAAGTTGAGGATACGATTTATGTTTTTCAGAACAATTTTTAAACTTTCGAACAAGAAAGATATGACCGTAGAGCTCTTTAAAACTCGGGATATTTTATACTGAAACCAATTAGGAGCTTCGCGCCGCCCAAAAGACAGCACAAAAAGAGCAATACAAGCTCGAAGACATCAAATGAAAAGAAAGACAATCAAATGAACAAGACAGAGGCGAAGATGAGCTTCGCACCACTTGCGATACAAAACAAGAAAGCCACTAGGTCGAAAAAAATTCGAAAATTACGAAAAAACTAGATCTATTGATAAAACTAGTTTTGAAACAAAAACGAGTCAAGACAATATAATATGAAAGTAGAATCGAAAGAAAATTTATCAAGCGGTAACAAAGCCGGAAATACCTTAGCAGAAACCCTTTAGGCCGTAAAATTTTTTTAAAATATCAAATCAACAATCTCAAGCAAACAAACACACACTTACACAAAGTTAATTCACCCGTCAAATGAAACACTATGCGGCCACGATGCCGATATTGATTTGGCCGAAACCTATTAAGCCGAAAAAGGGAAAATGAAAAAAAAAACAATGCCGAAAAAAAATTAGACTAATAGAAAGTCAGTTAGTCCCCCTCACCCTCAAAACACATACACAGCTCGTGAAATGAAGCAATATAAGGCGACTGAGCCGATGTAAAATATACCGAAAACTATCAAGCCGAAATGAAGGAAAAAAATCACAAAATTTAATTTTTAACGAGTAAGTCCCCCTCCCCCTCAAAACACAGACACGCACAAACAAACTATTTTCGCCCATCTAAAGGCGCAATATGCGGCCATTAAACCGATTTAATATAGGCCGAAACTTATCAAGCCCAAAAAGAAAACATAAAAAGCTGAAAAAAATTGTTGTCATGAGAAGCTTGAACTATAATATCTATTCAAATTTAGTGCGATCTGGAGGTCAGCAAAAATATTGTTTCCCTTGTAACTACGCCACTGTAACTGAAAACTAAGCCGATATAAAATTGTACGAAGCCTATTAAGCCAAAAAAAGGACAAAATAAAAAAAAAATAACACAGGCGAAGCTGAGCTTCGCACCACTTGCGATACAACACAAGGAAATCGAAAAAAATTGCCGAAGAAAAAATATATCTATAATAAGGAAGAATTCTAGTTTTGACACAAAACCATGCCAAGGCGATAGAATGTGAAACTAGCATCGAAAGATATTTTACCAAGCGGTAACAAATACTTTGGCAGAAACCTTTTGAGCCGAAAAAAACTCAAGATATAAGACTTGTGAAAAAACCCTCTCGCACTCGAAACACTAAAAAACATTATTTAATCGTCAAACGAAACAATATGAGAAATCTAATAAAAAGCTATGTAATTTATTCAAGGAAACTTAAGGAAACTCTTATTGAAAAAAAAACGGTGAGCATTAAGCAGTTAAGTTCAGCCAAAAACTAACTGTTCAGGAATAACTTCACATTCGAAATGTAGTAAACAGCAACACTTTACACAGAGGCGAAGCTGCACTTCGCAAACACTCGCAAGAAAACGACAAAAAAGCAGTTCTATGAAGTGCAATAAAACAACGTACCAACAAGCCTCGAATTAAAAAAAAATCGGCTACATCTCGAATTCGATCTGCGACCTAGAGATTATGAATTTTCACGCACTAGCCAAGCCACGGACGCTTAAAAAACCACAAACACTAGCCACAAGTAAAGCAGAGAACAGATGTTTAGGAATTTCCAATTCTACAGATCGTGATTATAGCAAAGGTACCACTAAATAAGTGAACTTTTTTAATGAACTTTTATTTACAAGTTAGGCTGGCGAAAAGAAGGTTCATCCTCGCAAGCTCGCTCGTAGAGTAATTAACAAAATTGATTAATTTGTAATAATTAAAAGACAGTTGAACAAAAATAATAGTACGCTATTGTACTGTATGCATATGACAACACAAGCTGAAAAATAACAACCATGTGATGAACGGAAAAAAAGTCTAGTATCCGGTTATAACACGCTGGCTATCCCAAGTGTGATAAGCCAAGCTGTGAAATTTTTCAACTCTATAGTTTAACAAGAAATTGACCCAAAAATAAATAAACCCCGATTTGATACCGCTTGCTTATCGCTAGCGTAACAATTGACAATTTCTTGACATAGATTGACCGCTCTACTTGTTGTTGTTGTTGCCTAGGTGCCCGTAGTTTGGCCCTCCTCGTGTCCCTCATTTGTGGCTTCTTCTGTATCGAGTTGCAGGAAAGCAGCTGCTTCGATCGGGTTTTCCCAGAGTGCGTGGGGGGTGACCGCTCTACTTCGCAAATAAGAGCGAAAAACATCAAACGAAAGCTTCAAAATTGCAAGGAAAACGGAAAACATAACCGCTTTGATACAGCGGGTAAATTTTAAGCTAGTAAATCGACAAAATGAATTTGATCAGTACTCATATAATGAAACTGAACATCGAATTTGAACAAAAGTCGGGTTGGAAAACGTTACCTCGTGGTCTAAAACAAGCGTTTGCTTGAGTAAAATAAACTAACCCATTTCGCAAAAGATGCATCATTAGATATTTTTTCATAGTGCTGGGAAATCTAATAATTACAATAATTTTGAAATTAAAAGCATTACTCACATTTTTCGCGCCATTTGTACATTTGTTATTGGAGTTTACAAGTCTGATTCTAAATATATCGATCAAAACAAACAAAAATGTGGGCATTAATTTTAATGTTCTCAAATTAGGTTACATTGAGACAATTGATGAAAAAATTGCTTATATTGCTACCAAATTAATATGGTGCCTTATAGTTGGGGGAATTCAGACCCGAACTTTTAAACAAAAAAGCAGCACGACAATGTTAAACAGAGTTATCTCCTAAATTTTAATCTAAACAAACATTTTGGTATACAGAATAGAGCGCAGCTTCGCGCCACTTGCTCAAAAACACGAATGTAATATGGCAAGCTAGCCGGAAAAAAAACTGCCGAAAATCACTAGATCGTAAAAGAGAAGTGAACATGACATCTAACAAAACTACATTAAACGGAATGATTGCCTCGGTTGAAAAAAATTATAGATAGT